TCAGTCAGCAACGGAGTCGCTACTCGTTCTAAACGGAGGCAGACAGCGCGATACCATTACAGCAAGGGGCCCACAAGAACGATACCACCAGTGGGAGCTAAAAGTCGGGAAAAAAATATTTCTTAATCGTCATTTATGCTCGAGGCCATGACTGCAGTTTTGAAGAAGTCAATCATTCACTCACTTTCTTACCCAGCTACGGCTATGATAATGCTTTTATTTACTTAAGAATCTTGCTGTTTGTGCCTGCCTGCCCCTCTACCTACCTGCCTGCAACTCCTGCCTATTAGCAGAAGCAAGTCATCATCAGCACCGCCTGATTGCTTGCATGCGTCGCCTGCCAACCTCAGTGAGTTGCCTGCATCTCTGCATCTCTCGTTCGTGACATACTCCGTCGACTGCCTGGCTGCCTCCTTGTATATGAGGCATGACCGTTCGAGCTACCTACTTGCCAGAACCGCCTACTCACCTGTTTGCCTGCCTGCATCATATGCTTGCTTGATGACCTGCCTTTGTATAAAGTTACCTACCTATTTTCTTACAAAGAATCATTTGCTTTCACGTCACAGTGAGTGGCGCAACAACTAAAGCGACGAATTGCAATTGTACAGTAAAATTTGCCGACATGATGGAGGCAATGATAATTTACTGGAGAGACTGCAGCTATCCGTACAGTTATACGACAGTGTTCAAGAAAAGAACGCTTCTGTAACAAACTTAGGTGGCAACGGCGAAGCCGTGCAAGGAGAATTGGTTTCAATGCTCCTTTCGCTGAAGAGCAGATAAGAATTTTGGACATTAGATCAAAGCGCAAATTCCAACGATGAGGAGAAATGACATGGATGAAAAACGATGTCATGATATGCATATTAAACGAAGCACATGATAACAAGAAAAAACACTCCTGAATGATTGGATGAAGGAGACGAAATACAGATGAAAAAAAGAAAAAATCATGTCATAAAAAGGGTACGAAATATTCATGTTTCATCAAGGTCAGAGAAAGACAACAATGTTTATATGCAGGACTAGTATTCCTAAACGCGTCCAAACGAGAAAACAGGG